GTCTCAGGGGGTAAGGAAAGAGCAGGTTAAAACACTCTCTCTGCTTGGTGACCTATAATGATAATTCCAGCATTAAGAACTTGCAGGCTCTGTGTTTTTAACATGTGCGTTGATAGGGATGCAAATGCAGGATGCCAGAGGGGATCTGGTGGAAACTGATTTCATTCTTCTCTAAGGGTCTGTTCTATCCTAGCGTCTTGGGTATAAGATTCATAAGGGAAGGTCTCTTCTTTGGATTTACCAAGGCCAAACTTCTAAGTATGTTCTATACTCCATTATGACTTAGTCCATGGACATTATCAGTGAGGCCACATCTAGTTTTCTCAAGCCAATGACAAAGCTTAATGCTGTTTTCACTCTCAGAGGCAGTGTGTCAGAAAGATCTGGGCTCAGAGACCCACCTCTGATACTTATTAGCTTGGGTAGCCTCTCTAAACCTCAGTTTCCTTTTCTGTAAAATGGGGTTTATAATGACTCTAGCATCTTCCTCTTAGGGTTGTTGTGGAACTGAAATGAGATAATGAATGTAAAGTGCTCTATAAACTTCATAGCTTTATATAAATGTCAATGATTATTTTGATTCCAAGTTCTTTTATTTTGGTTGCTTTCTTGGGGACCCTGAAAGACACTGATAGCCCTTCTTTTCTAAGTCTTTAGGGAGCAAGTAATGCATGTATTTTATTTATAGTTAGAAAAAATGGTACATAACCCATAATCTTAGGCACTGTCTATAGTCAAGATCATCCTTGGTGTGAATCATACGGAGAGGCTGATAGATGTGACTTGGGAGGTATATTTATTCTGGCCTAAGTTGAGAGGGAAAAGGCTCACTGAAATGGGGCTGAGGGAATATTAGTTTTTCCAGAGAGAAAGGGATGATAATGATAACGGTGACAATTGCTAGCATTTATACAGTATTCACTATATGAAGACACTTTACAAGTATCTCATTTTGACCTCACAACAACCTTGTATGAGAGGTGCTGTTATCATTCCCAATTACAGTTGAGGAAACAAAGACAGAATGAGTGGTTAAGTGCCCAGGGTCACACAGCTAGTAAGTTTCTGAAGTCAGATTCTAACCCCAGGTCTGGAGCTCTGTTCACTGTGCCACCTAGCAGCCTCTTACTTGAGAATGGGGAAACTATCTGGGAAAATGTAGTAGTAGAAAGCAGTCTTGAAAGCAAGGTTGAAACATCTGAATTCATGAAGGAAATGACAGTCACAAAGAAGTTTAGAGGTAGGTGACTGGCAGACAGGAAGGGTTATTTTTTGAATGACATTTTCTCAGTTGCATGGGTTTGATGAAATGCATTCTTGTGTAATGCATATGTGAGACCTGCCACCATTTGAGCAAGGGATAGCTCTTCTATGATGAAAAGTCAGAGGTGGAGGTTCAAAGATGAGGTGTAAGAAATGACAGTATTTTGACCACTGCCTAAATGAAAGGAGCAGAGAGAATGAATAATGATATATTTGGGCCCCTCACAAGTTCCAAGGATTAAGTTCACAGACAGCTTAAAAGAGAAAGATGAAATCAGTCTTCTTCAAGTCCACTTTAAGATAACAATGAGAAATTCAGGGGGAAAATATTAACAGAAGAGGCAGGCTGGGAGAGGGAGGAAGGGAGGGAGAGGGAGAGAGAAAGAGAGAGAGAGAGAGGGAGAGAGAGAGAGAGAGAGAGAGAGATATCTAAGGATTCTAAGGGTAGGGCTTCTTAACCTGGGGACCATGTGCTTGTTTTATTTTTTTAATTTGATAACTATGTCTCAATAGTTGGTTTCTTTGTAAGCCAAAATGCACCTACAAACATGATTCTGATAAGAAGTCCTTCAGGCTTTACCAGGTTGCCAAAGGGGTCCACAACACTAAAATGGTTAAGGTCTGTACTAGAGGAATGGAATCTCCCTGTGGGATTGGAAGGTTTTTGTATCCCCACTGCTCTGTGTCTAGACGTCATTTAAGTGACATTTGTTAAACTGGACTGAAACAGAAGATTCTGTGGGTATACACAAAGGCCCATCCAAATTAATCACCATAACAGATAAACTCTAGCCTAGAAGGATTTTAGACAGAGAGAACATCTAAGTTCAGTCCTCTTTCCTAGATACAACAGAAGGCTTGGGATATGTAATTTTTAATGGCTGCTGGACCCAGGAGGCATTCTATAGAGGACTTTTATCCTTGGAATGCCCCCTTCATAGGTGGATACTCAAAAGTTTCACTGATCTCTGGGGAAAGTATCAGAACTATTTTCATTCAGACTTCTGCCAGAAGTGCAGTGTTGAGGGAGGTTAGGAATACAGGAGCCGAATATTGTGATGATGTGTGGGATTTTGGGAAGCCTGAGTGAGGCTGGATTATTGGCTGCCTGTGGTCTATCAGTCAGTCAATCGATAACATTTCTTCAGGGTCCACTATACACCAACTAATGTATTTTTGGAGAGGTAAAGGAATGAAAAGGAATAAAACTGTGGCCGCGGGGAGGAGAGAATGAACAAAAATGAAAAGAGAAGTAAGAATTGACAGTGGTTACTTAAGACATGCTGCCCTGTCCAATACCGCTTACACAGATTTGTGAGTGCTGTGGTGACTGCTATAATGATCAGATGAAGTGGGGCCACAGTAGAGTGAAGGGGGCTCTGAAGAGCAAAGTGCATGAAAAATATCCCTAAAGTGAGGATTAGGAATGGGCAAAAAAGTTCCAGGGAAGAAACAGGTAGATGCAATGTTAGGGCCAGAATGAATGAATTAATGAAAGAAAAAATTTATTAAGTGTTTACTCTGTGCTAAGCCCTGTCCTAAGTGAAGGGGGTACAAACGCAAAAGTGAAGTAAGTCTCTCCCTTCAAGGAGCTTGCATTTTAAGAGAAATTAACTTTATGTGTTAGAAGTAGGGACCATAAATTGGAGAGTAACAGAAGGAAGCAGATGCTAAGAGGAACACTACTCCCACTACCTCATAGTGTAATAGTAAAGTCGTAGTGTAAGTAAACCATGGTTTATTATATTCTCTATAAATACAGGGTGTCCCAAAAGTCTTAGTGTGGCTTTAAACTCTGATAGCATATATATAATTTAGGCTATGAAGGCAATTTAATTTGCTAAGTCATTGGGACACCCTATATTATATATTTCATTTCATTCTCATTTCTAGCCTTTTCTTTCAACAGCAACAATAAAAAAGCCATACTCAATAATCACTGTTATGTGAAAGGATCTGGAGGCACAATAATAGAAGCTACTTTTCAAAAATGGAAATGCATAATTTGTAACCAAGACTGCGAAGACTGGGGGAAGTTATTGTGGCAGAGACTGGAGGTGGAGAGGTAGAAGGAGGATCACTAAATGTGGATTCATAGGCAGGCAAATGATAAACACCAACAACTTTTATTTCACTGAGCATGAGAAAACAGAAACAGAGGATATCTTAATGAGGTGGAAAACACTGAACCATTTACTGCAGAGACCAAGAGGCACAAAGGGTGTAGAAGTCCTTAATGTACCAGAAGGGGCCAGAGCTTAACGCATACGGAGCCTAGGATGAAGATCATGGCCAAAGCGTAACAGGATGGAACCGTCAATACCCTTTAAAAAAAATTTAGAAACCCTACTGAGATAGATAAATTGGGAAGGTAGGAAAAACAATTCCTTTTTCTAGTAAGATCACATGGGAGGAACTTTGGGTCATTTCTCTGAGATTGTCCTCAAGGAAATTGTAGAAAGAAGGGTATAAACAGGAATACACATTAAGAGCTTTCTTGCTGTTCATTCCTATAGCAGGGAGATTTCCACTATTATCCCCAATCAGTGGGGGAAATACCTTGTCGAAGAAAATGATTCCTCTAGTTTATTCTCTTCTGGCTTGCCAGTCTCCGAAAGAGAAATGTGAAAAACCAGTCTTGGCCCCCTTAATTTCAGAGGGTTGAATTGGTTGGTCAAAACACTCTTCTCTTCTTCTCTTAGCAACACTCCTGGTTTTCCTAATCCTCTGAGGCTTTGCTTTCTACTCATCTTTTTCTCCCTCTTTGCTATAGACACTGATACCATTTCACTCTTTGTGTAGCTTGGTTTCAGTTCTTCCTTTCAAGGAATCTTAATGTGGTCCATGATGTGCCTACCACTCCATGTCTTATCTGATGGCTCTGTTTGTCAGTCTTCCTCATGGGGACAGCAGTAAAGTGACCATTCCCTTGGTGGATTTTAAGGCTTCAAACTGTACATGCAGGACAGCACTGCTGCAAAACAATGGGGCAGCAACTCAATCTTATTTTAAAAAAATGGGAAAAATCTGGGCCAAAACAACCAACCTCAGGGGAAGAAAAACACCCACCCTCAAACAAAGGAAAGTAATTGGACACGAGTAATGTAGTAGCTGTTAGAGAGGCATATATGAAATCTATGGGCTGCACTTTACCCTGTCAAAGGCAGTTATGAAAGATGTAATTTAATTTGCTTCAAAAAACCCATAAAAAGGCAGATTGGATAGCTGTATTTTAGCAAATGTGTTTGCACTAAGGGTACCTTCTGTTGAACAGTTCTGCCCACAAGCTGTCTGTAGAATATAGAACATCTCTCGAGCATGCTTGCCACCTTGAAGCAGGGCAGTCGGGAGCAGAAAAAAAAAGAACAGAATGCAGAAAAAAAGGTGAAGAAAAGAGAGAAATGAAGGACAGCAAGTCTAAGTACCATCAATACATTTAGAAATGAGATTAGCAAAGTGTGACAATAGAATTTAAATGACACACAGAAAGACATTAAGATTGCAGTAAATAACATACTATGAAAAAAATTCAGCCAAAGAGCGCTTTCTGTTCAGCTTAGCTACAGAATCATAACGAAAGCACAAGTACATTAATTCATTTTACTGGTTCATTTGCATTCTAGCACTAAAAGGCTATTTAAATCTTAGTTCTAATGGTTAGTCTTCTTGCTAGCAAATCCAAAAAGCCAATGACTACATTACTTAATACCTATAATACCTTCAGTACTGAGACTTACCAACTACATCAAACCACAGAGGTATATTGGCCGGTTGTACAGACACCACACCCACAATTTCTGTCACTCTATCACTTTCCATGACAGTAAAGTTATAGAATGGCTCATCAAAGGTCAGAGGCACAGGGGAAGGAGGCGGTTTCTTAATCCATTCGATGTGGAGGCGGGCGGTGGTAGACTTCTGCGGACGTCCATTGTCCACTGCTTTGATCTAATCACATGTGGAGAGAATATAGAAGATGGCTCAAAGCCCTGGTCTGCTGTTGATTTGGGATTTCCTGATAGCAACACACAAATTTACCTCCATTACTATGGCAAAAAGAGAACAAAGTCCACCTACTTGTCTTTTAGGGAGAATCCACTCCATGTTGATCTGAAGGCCCTGTGAGCCACTGCTGTGTTTAAGAATGTGAGAAACTCCAAAACAAATAACATGTGGTCATGTGGGTATGAGCAATGAGAACGAGAATGGTATGGGCCAATCCGGTTCTCTGAGAAATGTGATTTCCTGGACAACAAGAAAGTTGACTAGAATAATGTGAATCAACACATTTGTTGAGGGGCAGTGCTCAGTATCTTCCAACCACCCTTCCCCCTGCTTCACTCTGTGGGTGTACTCTACTCATTTTATAGTCCTAGAAGGAAGGAGTTTCCATATGGACATACCAGGGCATATAGGTAATAGCCATGGAGGAGCGATAATTCTGTGTCTAGAAGAGGAGAAGCTTGTGAAGAGTCCAGTAAGAACTGGACTATGCAAAGTCTGCAGTGTTGTAACTGAATTATGTCAGCCACTACATATGCTCCTGATAGCTAGGGAATTATTTTCCCCTTTGGATGGTCACAAGCCCTGACTGAAAGACAGAATAAAGAATGCATTTTCCCATTGTGAATTGGAAAGGAAGACTGCTAGGATTTCCTTGGCACATGAGAGAATTAAGTTTGGTAATGAGGAGCAGAACACTTAGAAATGAAAATAGCAAATAGAATAAAAAAATTCAAATCACCCAAAATAAACAAAAAGTGACATTCAAGTATCACATTGTTCTATAAATTTTTTCAGTAGTGGACTGGGAATAAGTATACCAAGATTCGAAGCCTGGTTCCAATATTAACTAGCTATATGACCATGGGCAAGTCACTTGAGCTTAGAATTTAGAGCTGGAAGGGACATTACAGATGAGCTTACAACCTCCTTATTTGATGGATGAAGAAATTGAGGAAAAGAGAGGTAAAATGGCTAATCTAAGTTCTCAGAAGTCTCAGTTATCACAGTATCACAGATTTAGAGTTGGGAGGGACTTGGGAAGTCTGTTAGTCTAACCTTCTCATGAGGACTTAGATGGCACAGTGAATAGAGCACCTGCCTGGACTCAGAACACTCATCTTGAAAATCTGGCCTCATACACTTATTAGCTGTGTAACCCTGGACAAGTCACTTAACCCTGTTTACCTCAGTTTCCTCATCTGTAAAATGAGCTAGAGAAGGAAATGGCAAATCACTCCAGTATCTCTGCCAAGAAAACCCCAAATGGAGTCATGAAGAGTCTGATATAACCGAACAACAACAAATTAGGGTCCAAGGAGGGGAAGTATGATTTGCCCAAGATCACACATGTAGAGCAGATCACACACTGGACCCCAGATCCTCTAATTGTAGATTTAGAGTACTTTCTACTTGAGCTCTCTAGGTGTCCTATTTTTTTTTCCATTTATATAATGGGTATAATTTTTTACCCACTACCTCACAGAATCCTTGTGAGGAAAATATTTTGAAAAACTTTGTGGAAAGCATTTTGAAAACTAAAAAAATGTAAGCTATTATTTTGCAAAAAATAAGCACTGCAGATAAAATTTATACACTTTGCTTCCTTGGGTATAACGTAGCTGTCTATCTTTCACACAATCCCTGTGAGGTAAGATACTTCCCATGGTTTAGCCATATATCAATTATCCTTGCAAATAGGGAATGTAGTTAACAAGAATATAGGCACATACTGATTGGCTGTGTGAAAACACAAAGATAGGTAAAGCATTGTTATGGGGGACAAGTTGAGTGTGGGGAGAAGGAACTACCTGACAAATTGCATAGTTAGCAGACGCTGAAATGAGTTAAAATCAATGGGCTTACATGTTAGTTTAGATGGTTGCCCATCATTTGAACTGTTAACTTAGATGACTGACTAAATAATATTAATATGGGATTTGGTTACAATGCATCTATTAGTGATGTTATTGGGAATCTACATTAGTCAGGACAATGACATTCATGCAGATAGTACCTCTACCTGAAATTCACAGATTGAAAAAGAAAAGCCAGGGCATCAAACATTTCATCAGAGCAGATGGAACAGAATTTTGGTTTTGGCATTCGATCCTTTTACTTTCTCCGAATACCACTCAAAGGTAGGTAAGGAACAAAGAGAAGCCCATCCTCCCAAACTAATCAAGAGCTGACTACATAGTCAAGGGTATGTAGACCAGATTTAAAAGGAACTTAGTGCGTGCAAACCTGAAAGGAGGAAGATCATAGATTTAGTGTTAAAAGGGACCTTAGAAGCCAACTAGTCCAGATCTTCATTTCATATAAGAAACAGACTCAGAAAGATTAGTTAATTTGCCCAAGGTCATATAGCAAGTAAGTGGAAGAGGTAGAATTTGGATGTTCTCTGATTCTAAATCTAGCACACTTTCCAGTGTACTACAGTGCCTCTTGGAGGGAAAGATTAGAATGAATTTCTTTCACACTGAGGTCTCTTTGTTTAGTACTGACTTAGTCTACCAAGTGACACCTGCCAATTGTGAATGTGACCAATTACCCTCTGTTGTCAAAATGGGAATGAGTATGCAGTTATGTGTGTGAAGGTGGGATGGAAAGGAGGGGAGTGCGTGTTTGTGCACGTTGGTCTAAGGGGATTGTGGAACACTAGGGAAATGAAGCAGAAGAAGCCATAAATTATTTTATGCCATAGTATTCAATATGGAGGCATCAGTGAGGCTTCCAGAAACATCAAAAATCAGGGGAGAAGCCAAAAGCAGTACTTATTTATATGTCTTTGTCTTCCAGATCAGCATTTCTTTTCATATGTATCATGGCACTATTTATTGTAGAGATTTACTGTATACAAGAACATACATATGCATATCTCTACGACTTTTGAAATGAATGAGAAATTGGATGAGAAAAAAACAGACACCTACATATAACACACATCCATCCATCCAACCTTCCAGCCCCTCCCTCCAACCCGTACCAACCACACACACACACACACAGAGGCATTCCTCTGATTTGGGATTCAGAAAGTCTTACTGTTAGGATGTCGTAACTCCCTGCTGTAAACTGCTTTCTGGAAGAGACCATGCCAGTTTTAGGGTCAATAAAGAACTTCCCATCATCATTTCCATCTACGATGCTGTAGGATATTTCTGCATTGGGACCTTCATCTTTATCAAATGCAAAAGCCCTGTAAATTGGTTCTCCTCTTTTCTTTCGGTCCCGCTCTGGCAGCTTGATTTGATAGACTTTCTCTGGGAACTGAGGCTTATTGTCATTTTCATCCAGAACCTGAACCACGACCCAAACTGTCGACTGCTTTGGAGAAGAACCACCATCAGTCACGGTCACCTGAAGCAGGAGAAAATTAGAGCTATGCAGAGTTAAGGTGTTGGTGCACTCTTCACTATAAATTTGCTTAAAAAACCAAACAAACCAAACAACAAAGATTTACTGCATCCACATGAAGCATTTAGCAAAACATCTTTTTTTCCCCACCTCTCAGGCATCTCATACCCACTGATTAAAACTGCTGTACAATCACTGCTCTGCTTTTTATAGGGGTTTAAGATTTGCAAAGAGCTTTTCTCTCAACAGCGCAGAGAGACAGACAGTGCTTTCAATCTACATTTAGTAGATGCCTACTATCTGCAAAACCCTGGGGATATAAAGACAAATGCAAAATAATCTCTGCCCTCAAGTAGTTTATATTCTTGGGGGGGAGGGAGGAAGTTTACAACCTATATATGGAAAATAATTATGATTCAAATGCAGATCAAAGATTAAGAACCAGGAAATTTCCTTAGAAGACCTCTGGTCCAATGCCCTTATTTTGCAGATAAGGCAATGGAGGCTTTGATGGGTAGAGTGATTTGCTTGTAATGGCAGGTTCCTATAACCCAGGACTCCTGATGCTAAATCTGGCATTCTAGCCACTGTCCCATGTTGTGTCTCTTGGTGGGTAGGGAGAGGGGACACACTCATCAACTGAAGGGAAGGGAAACAGGCATATCTAACACAAAGATAAGCGTGGTTTTAAAAATGAAAGGAGGTGAACAGAAAGAAGGGAATGCACATTTGGAATCCAGCAACCACAAATGAAAGTTAACACTACTAAGAGCTCAGGTTTAGAGAAGTGGCCCACTCCCAAGGCTCCCAGGTGAATGGATAAGCGAGATTCTCTTTGAAAGAGGGTGACAGGACATGAATTACTAGAGTGGGACTATGTGCATTCAGGAGAGAAAGGAACCTGGTAGACAGGAAGATCAGCCCTTCCTTCAACTAGGTCAGTCAGACCAGAATGGTGAAGTTCTGCCTTGGAGAAACAAAGGTAATGTTGTCTTTGCAACCCCTAGCATATTCCAGCATGATAATATGACACTTAAAAAGGACTCTGAGGTTTGGAAAGTGCTTTGCTTGCATCTTCTCATTAGAATCCCACAACACAACCTAGAGCTAATTACTATTGGTATTACACTACTTTTTCGATGTGGAGACTGAGGCTCAGATAGGTTGAGTAATTTCCCTATAATAAGAGTTTACTAAGTGACAGAAGATGCATTTGAACCCAGGAAGTTCTGACTTCTAGACCAGTACTCTATCCACTCACTGCACCAACCTTTAATTGCTACTTTTGTTGAGGTTTAGGAGTATTAGGATGCTGGGACCCCCAAATCATGATTTGGGTCCTGCCCAAATGAATTCGACCCAAGCCTTCTTTTAGCCAATACCAAGGTTTATTAGAACATGCGTCATATTGGGCAGACTCTTAAGGAATCTGAGCATTGGCTAGATTATAAGAATCTGAGCACCTTAATGGAGACAAGATGGACCTTATATACAGAAAGACTGTGGGAGGGATCTAGGAGTGGCCAAGTAATCTCTGGGGGCTGTGAGGTAGTAGAATGCCAGGGATCTGGACCAGGTGCCAAGGAAGAAGCCTAGCTAGGATTAAGGGTGGGAAGTGGCTGGGGGCCATAGGGAGAAAAGACAATGTAGGGCTAGGCTGGGTTAAGGGTGACAGAGAATTGGCAGACTGGGCTTAAAAAAAAAAAAAAGGCCAGGGGCAGCTAGGTGTAGTAGATAGAGCACCTGCCCTGGAGTCAGGAGGACCTGAGTTCAAATCTGGCCTCAGATACTTGACACTTACTAGCTGTCACTTAACTAGCTAGTCACTTAACCCCGACTTCCTCATCACAAAAAAAAAAAAAGAAGAGGTCAGCTGATGGGCTCAGGTGGGAAAGTCCAGGGTTTTTTCTTTCTGGGGTCCAGGTCCCAAACCCATCACTTTAATAGCTACTTCCTTAAAACTTCTGGTAATTCTTATTTGTTCACCATAAGCTATTCTGGAAGAATCTGTCATTCTTTCATTCATTACCTTGAATTAGACAGCTCATTAATCCAAAATATGTTTTCTGAGGCTCCAATGAACACAAAGATGCATTTGGCACCAAGAAAAAAATAATATTGGTGAATTTCAGCCAATTTCTGTAGTATTTCATCAGATAAAACAATTTGACAGCACTCAATGAAAAGAGGGGAAATACATGGGAAAATGAACTGGAGAATTTATGTTTTTCCTCCTAAATAGGATGGCTAACCATTTCTGTTCCTCTGAATCATTGGAAAGGGGGTGGGGAGGGTGGGAAGGGTGGCACTATTGGACTTCAGATAGACAAATTCTTATTATGGGCTTCAGTAATAAGCCTTCTTTGAAAAAAATCAATCAAGTTTCCTTCCTTTCAAAGCTTGTTCCCCATTTGGAGACATTTCCCAGAAGACATGAGGCAGGAGTAGATATGAAAGAAGGCTGGATTTTTTGCTTTTTGGTTAATTCTCTGACATGCTGACTCCTGGAGTGGTATTTCCTGCTGGTGGCAGTGAGCTCGAAACGTTACACTTTCAAGTCTAGCTGTGCTAACCATTACACATTGATTACCTTGCTGCTTAACTAGTCTGTGGTCTTTTTCTACTTAAATGTCCCTGCCCAACATCTAGACAACCCCTGCTGTCCATCCACACAGAGCACAAAATCACCTTCTCATCACCTATCAATAATGCCCTGCAGTTGGATTCAAAATGTAGCATTGTAGAATTAGTCGGAGCAGTGTCTGTGAGAAAGGATTTCCACAGAGAAGACGAGATTACATTAACAATGTTTCACCCCCTTCCAGGATTCTCCCTTCAGTCTTAGCTCTTGCTGGCATTTACAACTGTTTCTATGTGAAGATCTTGATTTACAACCCCAGGTTCTGGAATACAGTCTGCTGAAAAGAAAGCTCACAGCTGAATGGGTTTTAGCCAAGAGGGAAGCTTTTGCTACACTCTGAACTGATTTTCAGAGAAGGGCAGAGGTAGAGCATTGAATGAATAGCCAGAAATCTGAGGTCCTAATCCAGGTCTTGCTATCAGGTAATCTCCTCTACTCTGTTTCCAGGTCTTTGATCCTACAAAAAGTGCTGCTTCTGTGGTATATATGGGGCCTTTATTTTTACCACTGACTGCCTTAGGTATATACTTAGTAGCAGGATCTCTGGAGAGGTAGCTAGATGGCTCAAGGGATAGAATGCTGGGCCTGGAATCAGAAAGATCTGAGTTCAAATATGACCTTAGATACTTACTAGCTGTGTGACCCTGAGCAAGTCACTTAACCTCTGTTTGCTTTAATCTACTGGAGAAGGAAATGGCAAATTATTCCACTATTTTTGTCAAGAAACCTAGTGGACAGTAAGGTTCATGGGGCCATGAAGAACTGGACAGTACTGAACAACAACAAAGCAACACATATTGTTGTCACTCAGTATAATTCTAAATTGACTTTGCAGAATGTTTGGGTCAGTTTGCTGGGCCATTAATAGTTGATAACAACATTCCTTCCAACACTGATTAGTCTCATCTTTTATTATACTGCTCTGCAGAGCACAGTACCTTCATCTTATAAAATGAGGAGCCATGTGTAGAACTGAAGTGATACAAGTGCATGGGATTTCAATTTGGAATTATGAAGGAAAAACTAATGGATCTGTCACCTTGGTCTCAGCAATTCCACCACTGGATACAGTCTAAGGAAGTGTTATAGTGCCTGGCATATCATAAGTGCTTAATGAATGCTGGCTAGCCATCTGCTGACTGAAGACAAAGACAGAAATGCCCAACATGGGCCAAAATCTTAACCCCCTTTATGGACCAAAGAAATGGAAACAAATTGGGGGGAGAGGTTGTTTGAATAATGGCTGAAAAAAAGTAGGATGTGTATATATCGTTATACAATAAGAAACAGCTAATATGAAGAATTCAGAGAAACACAGGAAGATTTATAGGAACTGATATAGAATAAAATAAGAAGAACCAAGTAGGTAATATATACAAGGGCTACGATAATGTGACCAAGCTGATTGTTAAAGGAAACTAAACTCTGAGCAATCGAAAAACCAGTGAAGGCACCCTAGGGGAGAGAGAACAAACCTACTTCTTTCATCATGGCAGAAAGGTAGGGGAACCATGAAGACAGAATCTTCTGCACATTGCCACATAAGATGCCTGTATCAGATGTTTTTGCTTAGCTGTTATTGTCATAGGGGAGGGTTCAATTTAGCTAGAAATGACTGCGATGTAAAGAAAATTAAGATGTCATTAAAATATTAAAATAGAGGAATGAGAATGAACACTTCCTGATAAGAGGGGGCTGAAAGAATCAGTGTCATTATTTTCATCATTATGCTACATTGGCCTGGGCATGTTGCAAGGAAGGGAATTCATTTTTGGAGAATTATAGAAAACAAATTCCTACCTGTTTTCTTTATCCAAGATGCTATTATTATTATTATTATTTTTTTTGCAAAAATCACTTTCAGTGTCAGAGTAGGGGCAAGCCAGTGTCACCTGTAATGTTGATGTAAACACCCTGGAGTTGTTTGGTACCTCTGTCTCATTTCTAGACAGTCCCTGAGAAGTCTACGCCAGACCCAAAGATGATTTTCAGCCATTTTCAAAGCTTAGTAGTTTTCATTTACTAACCTCAAAGGGAAATGGATATGAATGTCCCATTATTAATTCCCTCAGGCCAGCTTGTCTGCCCTGGCCACATTTTACACCAGGCCTAATAACCATAAAAGATTTCATCAGATTCCCAGACTTCATTTTAAATGCTGTCCTCTTTCTCAGTCTACTGAATGAAATTAGCCCCTAGTGAAGGAATAACAGTCAGATTCAAAGCATTGGGGTTTTAAGAAAAATTGGCCAAGAAAAATGGCCATTATCCTTCATTAATAACAGAAGAAATTAGCTATTATTTAGGAATGAGTCAAGTTCTTTTTATCCTGATCTAGGTGACCAGGAGAATTTCAGGCTTC